TAAGACTTTTTTTCTTATCAAGTACTTACAAATCCCAAAGAACTGATGAGAGATAATACTTGTCCTGGGGTTCTTGAATAATCTTGTCTAGGTTTAGCCATCGAGGGTGTTGTAAGGATATCCATCATATTGATATCTATGTACGGAATGAAAAGTAGATGAAATTCTCTAATCATCTGTTCTGAACTTTGCACATTACTAAATTACCTACAGATTGGCTTGTGCAACACAAATATACCTAGGAAAGCCAAATGCCACAGAGTAAACATATCAAAATAAGCAACTTACTGAAATCATTAAAGTCTGATAAAACTGAGTCCTGCTCTGGAATGAATAAAACACAGTGTAATGATCTAATGTCTTAGCTTCTTAGGGAGTACAGTCCCTCAACAGGAGTGTTATCTAACTTGCAACAAAATAGTTCTTGGTAAATCAAATATTAGAAAAGGAGGTGGTTGAGAAAAAGTCAGAAAGGAAATCACTATAATAGGAATATAAATTAAATTTCAATATCAGAATCTACTTAAGGAATTAATACAAATTATGGACCCTTCATGTGAATTAACATGTACAAGTGTAGGTCAAGATAGAAATTGAAACAGATTTTTATCAGGTTTCAGTACACAAAAATGCAAAGTAATTCAACATTCACACATAATATTGTACTATTTTCTTTAGAGATCAAAAATGGTAAGAGAAGTATACTCTGTGATATACGATTTTTTTAAAAGATAAACTGAAAGCTAGAACTTAACAAATTTCATTTATACCTCATATTGATGAACCAAAAAGCTCTTTTTTGCTAGCTTAATAGTGTAAAATGATTCATTTACTTTTAATTACCATTTATTTCATCACTACTATTGAATTTAACATAATACCATGTGCGTGTGAATTGTGTGTTCATTTTCTTTGCCCTTTGTTTACCAAGGTCTTGGTGGTGATCATGTATATTTGAATAAGGTTTTTAGGTATTGTTTATCATGTTATAGTTATTTTAGTCATTTTACTGATATTTAACTTGGTCAAAACCAGTTTTAGTAGGGATAAAAAGTCAAAAGGAGAGCAACTGTGAGATCCTCTTTGAAGAGCCAGAGCTCATCAAGGACCTTTGAGAATTTAAAAATAATTATTCCCATTTTTCATCTTTAATCAAAAGAAAAGGTACCATTATACCTTTCTGGTCTATTTTAGAACAAATAATCATCAAATTTTATTCCTTATAAACTAACAAAGAAAACAATATAAGTTAATGAAATGTAGTGTCTAAAATTTACTGGGTATTTAAAAAGGTACTTACCTGTTGTTATTTTTCTTACCTCTATTCAAAGTAACTTTGGAAAGGCCAAAATCTGTTAGTTTAATATGACCTTCATTAGAAATGAGCATATTGTCAGGTTTCAAATCCCTGCATATACAAGAGATAAATAGCAGATAACTAAAAAAGAGCTAGTGTTGCTGTTAGAATTACTAGGGGGGGAAATAGAGCAAGTTACAGAAAAATCAAACCCTATTTATTGTCTCTAAAATAAGGCCCTCATTGGTGGCTTTGGAATAGCAGAAAACAACTCTAAAAAACAAACCATCTTTTGTATATCGGAATCTACAAGAAAGTTAACTGATTTACTGATTATTTTTCACATTATTCATTAGATATTCAATTAAAAGAAATAAGCCTTGTTAGATAAACCTCAAGCCAGGTCAAAATCCTATTGGCCTCTTACAAGGTTAAGATTAAGCCTTCATAAAGCAGAGCCACTTAATCTGACTCTCTTTGTACAGATCAGAACATTGTAAATCAGCTGGGATTACAAAACACAGAACTTTTATATAACGGTAAAGGAGTGGAAAAAAGATTAAAT